GTGTCCACAGGGACCCCCTGGATGGAAACAGGGGTCACAGGTGTTTTTGCCCTCCTCAGATCCACTATGAGCTCCTTCCCTTCCTTTCCCCCATGCTTTTATATTATGTAATAATATTACCAAATATTACCCCATATGCTTTTGTTATGTAATAATATTACCAAATATTACCATACATGCTTTTATTATGTAATAATATTACCAAAATGGAAAAATAATCACAGAGGAAAGACACACAAGCAGAAAGTGAATTGTACAATGTAAAAAGGTCAATGAAAAAGATACATAAGGGACCCACGCATATTGTTCTTGTTTGTTGGCTGCCTCACTGTCTCTTTTCTATGGAAAGGTAATAAGTAATTTTTTAAAGAAAAAGATACACTACTCAATAAAAGTAAGGTGGCAGATTACAATCAATATTACTAATTGAATAGAACTATGTTTGGTATTGAATTAATATAAATTAAATGAGACCCTTTGTACTTAAACTTTTCATATGAATAGAATTACAAAGAAAACAACAAGGAATTAACACTTAAAAAAAATTAGTTGTTGGATTTAAACTGACTGCTGCTGGATGAAAACATCATTGGTCAGTTGTTCCATATTCATAACCTGTGATGACAGGCTTGTTAAAGATGGCTATGTGGCCTTTTTAAAACGGTGTTGTTGGTTGCTGCTTGTGTTGTAGACCGCTGTTTGCTGGTTATTGTAGTGGCCAGTAGTTGCCAACCTGGGGGTCAGGACTCCCACTAGGGGTCACAAGGCTTTCTTGATTTTAAGGGGTGTAAGAAAACTTATAAAAATATACACAGAAAATATTCACAATATATATATGTCAGCATTTCATTCATTTCTGTGAAGAAAACTAAATGAAATTGTAATTTTTAGTTTAGATTATTATTTAGGATCTAAACTTTAAAGAACACAATCTATATTCACAGAACCTTCAGTCTGCATTAGAAAAGTACAAAAAGTATCAACCAAAGAGCTAAGAAAATACAGAATTTGTAAAAAAAAAAAAAGTGTTCACTGTTTGGGTTCATTGTACAGTTCTGTTCTCTGCTGTTATTGATATACAATGAATATAATATGAAATATATATAAAATATGTCACTGGGTCAGTTTACCCAGTTTAGATTCTGTAGTCTGAGGGATCTCCTTCTGATAAGATTTACTTATTCCATATCTGTCTGTTCTGTTGATTGGCAGTTTCAAACCTATGAACACAACAGTCATTCTTATACATCTTCCCACTGGCCTCACTTTTAGCAAATGAAGTAACAATGAAATTAAAGGACCCCCTCAACCCCAGGCTGAGAACAACTGCACAAGAGGACCTAAGAATGGAAGGGTCTCCAGTGGTCACCCATGGGACAGTTTAGTTTTGTGGTGTGTAATGAGCATTCCACTATGCCTCACTATGCATTCCGATGAGTTTATTTTGTAAAAGTCTCATCCATAAACAGCAAAAACAGTTTACAGTAAATTACAAACCTTGAAAATGCAAAACATGTTCCAAATACAAGCATAACAAAGATTTTAAAGAAATTAAAAAAAACATGAATTTACATACAGAAGGTGTCAGCTATCATTAAAAAATAAATAGGTCTATATCTCATGACAACAGTGGAAGCAAAGCAAAGGCGACTGGCACAGAGTTAAAAGACAGAGCAATCTGCTGTCGTCTGTTATCAGTCTAAGTAAACTCTCACAGGGATAATGATATGTTTGGCAATTTCAAAATGCATTATCACACTGTATGTTGTCGACAATGCTTCACATGAAACCATCTCCACAGCTCTCAGTTAACCCTTTCCTGTCAGGTTAAGACGATGAGACAAGGCAACAGAAAAAAGTGGACTCTTCTTTTTCCTCCGAGTCCTTACATACCAACAAATATCTGATGTTAAACTGAGAACCAATGGACACTTTCATATAAGAATGATCTGGAGTACAACAGTAGAGCATGCCACTATAAAAAGCTTTGAAATATACAGTGATCTATTTCACAGATACACAGAAGAACAGATGTATCACTTCCCATAAAAAGATGAGCTGTTACCTAGAGCAGTCCAAGTAGAATAGTGGTCCTATATTCTACAACAAAATAAAATATACAGATAGAGTTAATATTGAGTTACAATGTGTAACCCAGTTGTGCACAACACTTCATACATTTATCTATGTATTTCCATTCCTCTTTTTCTGGTTACATAAAAGAGTAACATATAGGGTGATGGATAATGTTTGACGGTTATTGAATATCCCATAAGTCCCTCCAATAATTATCCTTGTAGAAAAGCAATTTCAAGCTACAACTAGAGTGATCAGTACACTGCAATACCCAACATATATCATCGATGGTAGGAGAGTGTATATATATATGGTGGTCAAATGCATTTGTACACAGTGACAGGTAATCATGAGTGATACAATACAGATGCACGGTATGTATGCACGGGCCAGTATTATTACTGATTGATGGCTATCTACACTATGTGTGATTATGAAGTACTGGGAAGAACACACGCCACCACAACTCCCTGTTTCACCTGGCCTACATGTGACACGCAATGACATCACGTCACATACTGAGAGGAGATGCACCGATACTGTATTTTGTTTTGTGACACAGATTTTACAAACTACTGTAAAACTGACCTTCTGAGCAAATATAATGAGTCATTGTTCAACTATTACTAAAGAGGCAGTAAGCTGTCTGTTTTACTGTTGCATTGCACATACGCATTTCAACCATATGTCAGGGGTCTCCAGCCTTTTTGAGAGTGAGGGCTACGTAAGGGAGAAAATTGCCTACTAGAAAATTGTATTTAAACATCCATGTTAAATTGAGGCTTTCAACAGAAAAACTGTGTATTTCTACCTTTAGTCAATACAGTGTTGCCTTTGGAATTGTGGGTGTGAATGTTGTTTTTCCTTTAGTCCTGATATTAACACTGAAGGACCTTATGAGAAATCTACTCAATAATGAAGGTAACCCAATTAATTGATTAGAAGTGCAACTCTGAGAAAGGGGGAAAGGGCTGAGGTCACCATTTGGGACACATAGAATAACCACTAAATGCAGAAGAGCAGAACAGAGAAGCATGGTGTCAGCTCAGAACATGTAATACACCCAATATACTTTTTGAATTCATAAAAACATATAAGTAATGTATTGAAATGTTTTGACACAATGCAACCCATTTTTACACTTCTTTCAAAGTGTTGCTCAAGCACCACATTGGAGACCCCTGCATATACTGTAGGGGGTATGCTGTAACTAATGAGTGTTTACATGATCCATTAATCAGTCAGTCATTGTCTCAACTAATCGATTAGTTGTTTGGTCCATAAAATGTCAGAAAATGGTGAAAAATGTTTCCCAAATCCGAACACTGACAGTGTTAGGTTTCCCAAGTTCAAAGTTTCTGGACATTTAATACAGGCTACAGTGGATTCAAGACATTTTTGCTGGATTGGATTCAAACTGACAGCTGCTGGATGGAAACACAACATTGTTGCCTGATAGTGAGCTGACTCTTGAAATGTGTTGGTGCTGTAGGGTGCTATAATAAAATCACGAAATGTACCTTTTAATTAATTAATTTGTATCAATGATTGAGAAGATTATTGAATATGTCCTATCCTCTACATTTATAACTTAATCAATTATTAAAATTGTTTGGGATTAATTTAATAGTTCAGTGACCTTTTAGATGAAAAAGTCATTCGAATTTTAGAAGGCATTCCGGTTAAATGCCTGAAACATTCCTGTGATTCACTCTGACAGATAAAGCCAGCCATATCACATCCTGTTTGTGAATTTGGTACTTTTACTAGCCATAAATTACATTGCATTTTATTTATATGACATTTCCTTTGTTAATACAGTCATGTTTTAATAGCAGTTACTTAACTGACATATTATTAGGCTAAACTAAAGACGCTGTGTTACTGACATTGACAGTGTTTGGTTTTACACAGGTTAGCTAATACATGTCTACATTCATCCTTTTAAACTTGCCAAAATGTGTTTTGTGAAGATAAACTGTTGATGGGCCTGTGTTAAACTCTTTTTTTTATTTTTAGTATGAATCCAAAATGACATACAATGTAGCAGGGTTGTGGCCAGCTAGCTAAGGTAGCGCTAGCTTCTGGGCTGATGGTAATTAAAATTGTAATTCATGGATATCTCAACTCAGTACGGACCGGTACCAACAAAAAATACATTCCTGCATTTAAATACTGAACAGTCTCATTCTCAAACAAGAACTAAACACATTTTGGTATATATAAATATATTACTTCTTCACCGGACTTCACTCTAGCTAGCAATGTGACATTGTGACTTGGCTGTGGATGCACATTTTTTCCCTTCTGTATGAAATTAATTAAGCAATATAATTCCTATTTATTCCAATGTGAAATTGAGAAACAACTCAAATTGCCGATGACGACTGTGAGATGTAGATGATAGGTGTGGAAAAGGCTTTGGATGAGAGCAGCCAATCCAGGTCCTCTAGCCTTGCTTCATGCCCCCTTCCTATTCTGGCTGAAAGCAGTCCCCCCAATTTGACTGGTGGGAAATGCAAATTGCCAAAGTCATTGCCAATTTAATAGAATAAAATAATCATACTGTATTGCTAGTTATAGGGGCCCAAATCCTATGGCCAGTTTAGAAAACAGTTATGTCATTGCAGAACAATGATCAGTGTCATTATATAGAAAAAATTAAATAAATGGGGGTTAAGCCTGACATATACAACTACCTTACTGAATCTCATATTTATTATTCATATTTTCACTTTTTCTGACATTAAGATGCTTTATTTTTTCTGTTTTGGTCGTCTGTCTAATGTGAAATTACTGTAAACTAATTACATCACTGTGGCGAAGCGGAACTGCTGTCTCTATTTTCATAGCCATTTGTGTTCACTAATCAACCTTTTACCACGAGCTGACAGAAGAAGAAAGCATGTGGGTTTTGTCTCTACTTCCTACATTACTTTATGCTGTATATAGGGTTCATTGTTAGAAGGAAGGTCAGCTTAGTTTATGTGAATTCTTAAGGTTAAAATACGCTCTGCTCCAGGCAGTCATCCAAACTCTATTCTAAAAGCGTAGGGCCATATTTTTTCACAGTAAAAACATTTGTTCCACCATCACTGAGACTCTTTACTGATTCTCTTTAATCTACAGTTACAATCAGCACACGTCATTTAATCAGTAACATCATTAACCAATCTGTGATGAAGTGTTTGCTACAGACGGACACATATACATTATCCTGTCTGTGAATGGTCTGAAGCCACAGATGTCTTTTACTGTCCTTAGCTCTTTGGGGAAGTAAAAAAAATAAAATAAACTAGGTTGTTTTTTTTTCGATTTCGCAGCTTAGGCATGGTGCCACTAGGCACTTTTACAGCGCTTGTTTCACCCAAAAGGGG